GTGTCGCTATTTTGGGAACATACCAAGTCCAAAAAATAATAGCAGAATCAATGTCATAAAAAAAGAACAAGGATCATAGTAGACAAAGATGGTGACTTAAGAATTCTCCGGATTCTGGACATAGACTCTAAACAAAAATGATATAATGCTCTTTTGTAAAGTGAGTCAGGTGTGTGCTGTAAGACAATAGCTACAATTGTGGAGATGGTCTCATTGACACTGGAGTGACCTTGCTAAAAAAGATGCCACCAAAAAAACAAGAGTATAAGTTTGCCAGCCAGAAAAGACAAGGTTCCAATGTTGTCACTGACTGCATAAAAAGCTGAACAAATACAACAAGATGACATAAGGCAGATTGAACTTGTGACATATGGAGGAGCTTCTGGGGGAGAAAAGAGTACACAGAGAAGTCCAATGCAAAAGGCAAGATATCAGAGGCAAAGTTAGATGTCATCTCAATTAAAGCTGGGAGATGAACAAGGTGAAGTTTAAATACTTGTCCTATCAGGCATAGTGGCACAACCCTGTAATCCCAGTGACTCAAGAGACTGAGGCAGGAGGATCACAAGTTTGAGGCCAGCCTCAGCAATTTAGCAAGGCCCTAAGCAACTTAGTGAGACCCCGTCCCAAAATAAAAAATAAAAAGAATTTGGGATGTGACTCAATGGTAAAGTGTCCCTAGATTCAATCTCCAGTATCAAAACAAAAACAAAACAAAACCTGTCCTATGGATGGTGTCACTGATCTAAATCATGGCACCAGATTAAAAATATCAAATAAGCACATTCTGGGGTGGATCATCCTTCACTCCTTCAACTAACAATGTTTAATCATCTTTTCACATGTTGATTTGCCATCCATACTTTTTTTTGTTGTTGTACTGGGGATTGAACCCAGAAGCATTTAATCACTGAGCCACATCCCGACCCTTTTTAGTTTCTATTTTGAGACAGGATTTTGCTAAGTTGTTCAGGGCCTCGCTAAATTGCTAAAGCTGACTTTGAACTGGTGATCCTCTTGCCTCAGCTTCCTGAACCACTGGGATTAAAGGTGGGCACCACTGGTCCTATCAAGCAAATTTTTTTTTTTTTTAATATTTATTTTTTAGTTATCAGCGGACACAGCATCTTTGTTTATATGTGGTGCTGAGGATCGAACCTGGGCCGCACGCATGCCAGGCGAGCACGCTACCGCCTATCAAGCAAAATTTTAAGCCCAGCAGGGTCATGCCTGAAAATGCTAACAGTTGGCGCTTTAAAGCTAATTAGCTGTAAAAGGAATGGAAATAACCTGCAAAGCCCGGAAATCTTGAACTAAGGCTCTGGTGCCACCTAGTGATGATTTGGTTTCAGGTCAGCCAAGTGTATCTGAGCTAAAAAGTTTTAAAAAAATAAGGAAAAGAAACTGGGAATCATACTTAGTTATGTCGAAAGAACAAAGATTTTCACCAAAAATGTCACTGCATACTGACACATTTGTTTAGTCGTAAGACATAGCAGAACTACTTATCCCTAATAATAAATAGATAAATCCTAAAGTGTAGGAACAATTCCATATCATCCATAAAACATTATCTCCCTCCCATTTTCATTCTCTCTTACACCACACACACACACACACACACACATTTCACAAGTAAATTCCTTGGACTTCATTTTCAATACATATCCAGAATCAGACCATTTCTCTCTAGTACAAGCCACCACCTCTCTGGCCTGAATTACTGCAATAGTCTCCTAGTAGCCTCCCAGAGTGGCCCAACGTGGTAGTGCATGCCTGTAATCCTAGCATCTTGAGAGGTTGAGACAGGAGGATTGCAAGTTCAAAGCCAGCCTCAGCAACTATAAGACACTAAGCAACTCAGTGAGACCCTGTCTCTAAATAAAATACAAAATAGGGCTGAGGATGTGGCTCAGTGGTCTAGTACCCCTGAGTTCTGTCCCCCATACCAAAAAAAAAATAAAAAGGTCAAATCAATGCTCCACTCAAAACTCTCCAATAGCAAACCACAGACATTTACTGCATCAAGTTTGGCCCCTTTACCTTCACTTCCCACTACTTTCCCCTTTTCTTTCAACTTTTTTTTTAAGTTATCAATGGATCTTTTATTTTATTTATTTGTTTTTTATATGCTGTGCTGAGGATTGAACCCAGGGCTTTCAACTTGCAATCCTCCTGCCTCAGCCATCCAAGTCACTGGAGTCACAGGCATGCCTAGTTCTACATATTTTCTTCTCAGAAAAGCCAAAGTCGTTAGATGGCCTTGAGTTCCTGTAATGGCCCTAGCCACTTCTCTGATGTCATTCTCAACACCCTCCTGTTCTTATGAGGATGGAACCACCCTGACCTCTGGCTGCTCCTCCTACCAGTGAAGGGAGCTTTTGCATGGTTCTTGCTCTCCCCCAGATGTCTCTGACTCTTCTTCAAAAAAATCTTCCTGCTTCCTTCTGGTCTGCTCACAGGTCATCATCTTAGAGAGACTGTCTGCTCATGCTGTATGAATTAACACCACCACCATTCATTCCTAGTCTTGCCCATCTTATTTTTCTCTTTTGAAAGATGTTTCAAACAGAGTCAAAGATAAAAATTTACAAGTTCATTGTGGAGAAAATAAAGAGCCCAGCTTGGCTAGAGATGGACATGGATGAGGGCCAGGTAGTGGGAGATGAAATGAGACAGTGTGAGACCAGCTGGTGGATGGCCTTGAATGCCAGGCTTAGAAACTTGGATTCCATTAGGAATTTTAATCAGGAGTCATGGCAGGTGTGTGATCAGAGGAGAAAGTAAATGAAAACAGCCTTTCAGTAGCTATCAACAAATTCATGACCTCTAAAAATAAAGTGCACAAAGTAAGGAGTGTCGGGAAGGTGAAAGAAAAGCTTTCTTATAACCAAGTTCAAACTACTCTGTTTTATAATTATATATATTATTAAATATGGAAAGATAGCTCAGTTATCCTCCCCAGGGTTCAATCCCCAGTATCAAAAGAAAGCAACAAAAGAAAAAAGAAAATGTATGTCTCCTTCAGATAGGCTCAAATGTCCAAGTCTATAATTAGCCACTGTTAATAGAGATGATATACCAACAACCTTGCATCACCTCCGGGACATGTGCTATCTCCTTTATACAAAGAGTTTAGTTTAATCTGCCCACAACCTTGTTCAGAGTGGGAGGAAACATTATGTCCTCTTAACTTTTCTCTGGAATCACAGGCTAATAGAGAAGAACCTTCAGTGTCATTCACACTACCTTTCACCAAACATGAATTTTCTCTATGACATCTTATGATCTTTAGTTTCTTCTTATTAAGTCATGTCAGTTTCTGAGAGAAGGGACTGGGGAGCATATCACAAAGACTATCCCAATTCACTCAGCTCATGGTGATCTTCGGGAGCTAAAAAAAAAAAAATCAGAGAAAAGTATTGCTACTATTGCAAAGATACCAAGTGTTGCTTATATTTGCAGTAGCAAAAATTTCATCTGTATAAAAACATAGGAGCTGTGGGCTGGGGCTGTAGGTCAGTGGCAGAGCGCTTGTGTGAGGCACTGGGTTCAATCCTTAGCACCACATACAAATAAACAAATAAAGGCATTCTATCTACAACTACAAAAATTAAACAAAAAACATAGGAGCTAGAGGTGTAGTTCTGTGGTACAGGGTTTGCCTAGTTTATTTTCCCCTCCAGGACTCCAACCTACTTCTACTTACTTATTATTTTCTGTGGCAAAAGTATGGGAAGGGAATTCAGGGGAAAGTAAAATAATATTTACTGAGTACAACTCTATGGCAGGCTCTTGTCACTTCTCCCTAATTTTCATAATGACCTTGTGAGGCAGAAATTCTTATTCCTAGTTTTAATAGAGTAGATAGAACCAAGGCTATACAGGTTAAGTAACTGGCCTAAATTCACACGGGCCTGGAAATGGCAGAACTTGGATTCACATCCAGGTCACTTCCTTCTGTGTTATGTCCCTTTCACTCTTTATCAGCAATCTCTGGGATAGCTGGATCAAATGGTGGTTCCACTCTAAGTTTAACCAAAACTGCTGTGCTTCAACAACCACTTAGGCATTTTTAGCTTCAACAAATAAAGACTTGGACATAAGTAGCAATGCTGGGGAAGAAGTTGAACCCCCTATATTGAAGACAGTAGCCAGGAGAGCCTCCCATAATCCCTGTTCCCACCTAATGCTTCAGCAGATGATTCCAAAGAGTTCCAGAAACCCCAAGCACTTTGTTCCATTTTTTAAAATTTTTTTTATTTTTTAAAATTTGTTCTAATTAGTTATATATATGACAATAGAACACATCTTGACACATTATACACAAATGGACCACAACTTCCCCTTCCTCTGGCTGAACATGGTGCAGAGTCACACTGTTATGTAATCATACATGTTTATAGGGTAATAATATCCATTTTATTCCACCATCCTTCCCATCCCCACAGCCTCTCTCCTCTTCTCATTCCCTCTGCACAATCCAAAGTCCCTTCATTCTGGACCCCTCCCCATTATGGATCAGCATCCACTTATCAGAGAAAATATTCAGCCTTTGGTTTTGGGGGTTTGGCTTATTTCACTTAACATAATACTCTCTAGTTACCAGCAAATGCCATAATGTCATTCTTCCTTAAGACTGAGTAATACTCCATTGTGTATATATATTACATTTTCTTTAACCATTCATCTGTTGAAAGGCGTCTAGGTTGGTTCCATAGTTTAGCTATTGTGAATTGAGCTGCTGTAAACATTGATGTAGCTGTATCCCTGTAGTATGCTGATTTTAAGTCCTTTGGTTATAAACTGAGAAGTGGGATAGCTGGCTCAAATGGTGGTTCCATTCCAAGTTTTCTGAGGAACCTCCACACTGTTTTCCATAGTGGTTGCAACAATTTATAGTTCTACCAGCAATGTATGAGTGTACCTTTTTCCCCCCACATCCTCGATAACTTATTGTTGCTGTATTCTTTTTTTTTTTTTTTTTTTTGAGTGGGAGCCGTTTATTGTAGGACAGGAGGGGTATATATACATTCCACACAGCTTATCTTAATTAACATAAACTAGATACAGCAGTCAACCAATAAGGAATCTCCACACTTAATGGCTCGCTGGCGTTTCTTCACAAAATGCCAGGCGCCATCCTGACTTGTTTACAGACCCTAACATTTCCCCCTTTTGTTTAATTTAAATAACGACCATAGTGGTGTTTTACAGAAACACCATAAATAATCTGCTACAAGCAGAAGGGGAGGATACAAAACGCACAATACCAAGCCAATTGATGGCTCCATGCAAGAAGCCCTTGGAAAAATTATACCAGCAATGACACCGTTAGCAAAGATACCGAGTTACAATTTGTTGTAGATTACAGTTTGTTGTCTCAGTCCATTAACATAAACTAGATACAGCAGTCAACCAATAAGGAATCTCCACACTTAATGGCTCGCTGGCGTTACTTCACAAACCACTCCCCCTGGCAAAATGCCAGGCGCCATCCTGACTTGTTTACAGACCCTAACAAGAAACATCAAAGGAAAACATTTGAAACTGGTTATTTTTTGCTCAATATTACCAAAAGGTTTGATGACAAGCCCACAGTGTCTCAAGACAACAGAAGAGTTTGCAAGTGAGCACTACTGGATAAGAGTGAGGTGGCTGTGACGACAGACTAGGAAGCCTGCAATCCAGAGTGCTGATTCCCTCCACGGCATCCACATGGCAGTCCTGCGGGTCAGCCGGCCTCTGCTCTTCTCCCGCAGAGCCCGAGGGCTTTGGGTCAGTCCTGGCAACCTTGTAAGACTTGAGCGTCCTGAGCATCTCCACCAGCTGTTCCTTCATATGGAAAGGCCTCTGACCTCCATGAGGCCTGACCTGCCCAGGCACCGGGTCCCCACTTCCCTGCTTCCCACCTCAGCCCCTCCCCATGTGCTGTTGCGTTGCCCTGCTCACTCCTCTGCCTCCCCTGCTGGACCCCAAGCCCTGGGAATCCAGAGATTACGTCTTAATACTTCTGATTTCCAGGGCCTAATAGTACTTAGCAAACAGAAAGCCTCAACAAATGTCTGACAGTGGAATGAAAAAGCCTTTCAAAGAAAAAAATGAAACTGTAAAGATTATAAGTGAAAAATTCCTTACCGACTCTAATTTCCTTTTGCCATAACTCCAAAAAAATAAACATTTAAAATGAGCTTAGGTTCAGGTTATTTAATCTGCAGCCCCTTCCTCCTTCTCATGTAAGGAAATTTCAGGACACAGAAAGCTCCAGGACCTTGTCAGCAAACCTCAGACCACAGGGCTTCCAGGATAATAGAAGTGGAAAGCCCAAGCCCACCACCCTTCTGACTCAGACCAGCACTAAAAGCAGCATCACCAAATTCCACGAGCAGAAAGGAAGTGGGACGGACGTACGCGGCATCCCTGGTGTCCGGCACATCTCTGCGGTAGCCCAGGCGGTTGCTAATGAGCATATTAAAGGCGTGTTTCTGATAGCCCAAGTCTCTCAGCTCCTGATCACGTTCATTGAAAATCATGCCCAACTCAGAAGAGAATTTCAGGTGGTCTTTTTCTGGATCTTCAATGTGATTACCCAGCACATCACCAATTCTATTTGCTTTGAACTGTGGCTCTAACACTCGGCTTGGACCTCGTGTGAAACGGGGGTAGAATTTTTTGGGAAATGGTCCGTGGGGACCAGACCCCTTGATGGGCACATTCTTAAGTGGCTGAGTCACTTCACTGAAGTTAAAGTAAACAAAGAGCAAAACTGTCCAGGTCGCAGATGTAAAAAGGCACCCATAACAGAAATATCGAAGTGTGACACTTCCCATTATAGACCTAGCATAGCTGAAGGGCCATTTTCAGTTTCCGCGATGCGCGCAGCCCAGGGCCGCGGCCTTCCGACGCTCGGGCTGCGGCATCTTCCCTCCCGCCACAGCCCAGGGCCACGGGGCCCAGGAGGGCGGCCGAGCGGGACGCGGAGGCTGACGCGGGTTCGTGCGGTCCCCGCGCCGCAGCCTCGGCCGAGAGACCGCCGGCGCCACGTCACGGGCGGCCCCGCCCCGCCTGTTGCTGTATTCTTGACAATTGCCATTCTGACTGGAGTGAAATGAAATCTTAAATAGTTTTGATTTGCATTTCTATAATTGCTAGAAGTGGTGAACATTTTTTCATTATGTTTGTTGATTGATTATATTTCTTCTTCTGTGAAGTGTCTGTTCAGTTCCTTAGCTCATTTATTGATTGGGTTATTTGTGGGGTTTTTTTGTTTGTTTGTTTGTTTTTGTGTGTGTGTGTATGTTAAGTTTTTTGAATTATTTATATAACCTGGAGATTAGTGCTCTAAAGTGCATGTGGTAAAGATTTTCTCCCATTCTGTAGGCTCTCTCTTCACGTTATTGATTGTTTCCTTTGCTGAGAAGAAGCTTTTTAGTTTGAATCCATCTCATTTATTGATTCTTGATTTTACTTCTTATGCTTTTGGAGTCTGGTTAAGGAAGTCAGGTCCTAAGCCGACATGGTGGAGATTTGGGCCTACTTTTTCTTCTATTAGGTGCAAAGTCTGTGTTCTAGGGCCTAAGTCTTTAATCCACTTTGAGTTGATTTTTGTGCACAGTGAGAGAGGTTTAATTTCATCTTGCTATATATGGATTTCCAGTTTTCCCAGCACCATTTGCTGAAGAGGCTCTCTTTTCTCCAATGGATGTTTTTGGAGCCTTTGTCCAGTATGAGATAACTCTATTTATTTATTTTTTAAATTTATTTATTTGTTCTAATTTGTTAGAACAAATAAATAAATGCATTTCAATTCATAGTATGCAAATTGAGCACAATTTTTCACTTCTCTGGTTGTACACAAAATAGAATCACACCATTTGGATCTTCATACATATACCTAGGGTAATGATGTCCATCTCATTCTACTATCTTTCCTACCCCTATGTCTCCTCCCGCCCCCTCCCTCCCCTTTGCCCTATCTAAAGTTCCTCTGCTCCTCCCATTCTTCCCTCCTCCCATTATGGATCAGCATCCACTTATCAGGGAAAACATTAAGCCTTTGGTTTTTTAGGATTGGCTTACTTCACTTAGCATGATATTTATTTACATCCATTTACCTGCAAATGCCATAATTTTATTCTCTTTTAATGCTGAGTAATATTCCATTGTGTATATATACTACAGTTTCTTTATCCATTCAAGATAACTGTATTTATGTAGAATTGTCTCTGTGTCTTCCATTCTGTACCATTGGTCTACATGTCTATTTTGGTACCAATTGTTCCAATTTAAAAAAAAAAAAAACTGTTAATTTTTGTGTGTCAACTTGACTAGGCCATGGGGTTCCCAGATATTTGATCAAACACTAGTTGTTTCTGAATGAGATTAACATTTGAATCAGTAAACCCAGTCAAGCAGATTATACTCCCTCATGGGGGTAGGCCTCATTCAATCAGTTGAAGGCCTGAATAAAAGAAAAAAGCTGATCCTCCACCATTTGATCCAGCTATTCCACTCCTTGTTTTATACCCAAAGAACTTAAAATCAGCACATTACAGTGATGGAGCCACATCAATGTTTATAGCAGCTCAACTCACAATAGCTAAACTATGGAACCAAGCTAGGTGCCTTTCAACAGATGAATGGATAAAGAAAATGTGGTATGTATACACAATGGAGTATTACTCAGGCTTAAGGAAGAATGAGATTATGGTATTTGCCCATACCTGAAGAATATCATGTTAAGTGAAATAAGTCAATCCCCAAAATACAAAGGCCAAATGTTTTCTCTGATACGTGGATGTTAATTCTCAATGGGGGAGCGAGGGGGGGAGGGGGAGGCAGATAGGGAAGAATAGAGGTACTTTGTACTAGGCAGAGAGGAGTGAAGGAAGGGGAGAGGGTATGATAGTAGGAAGGACATTATTACCCTATTTGCATATACGACTACAGGACTGGTGTGATTCTACATCATGTACAACCAGAAGAATGAAAAGTTATATTCCCTTTATGTATGATGTGTCAAAATATATTCTACTGTCATGTATAACTAATTAGAACAATTTTTTTTAATTAAAAAAAGAAGGTAACAGAGAATTCCTCCCTTTGATTTGAGACATCAACTTTTTTCTGCCTTCAGTCTCAAACTAAAACATTAGTTCTACCTGAAGGCAGGCTGGAATGTACCCTGGGCATTTCTGAGTCTCCTGCCTGCTGACACACCCTAAAGATCTTGGGACTTGCTAGATTTTATAATCATCATGTGATCCAATTCCTTATAATCTCAATATGCATGTATGTGTATGTATGTGTGATATATATCACATACATGTATATATACATGTATGTGTATATGTAATCTCAAAATACCTGTATGTATATATCACACATTTTATATATATACATATGCATATATGCATACATACATCCAATTGGTTCAGTTTCTCTGAAGAGTCCTGACAGGCTCTTTAACAAGTTCACAGCATGGCATAATATTTTTCAGTGATAGGCAAGTTCAGAGCAGATATGCAGAAGCTATTGGTGAGTGAGTGGGACCACAATGGAGAAAGTGTCTTGGCTAAGAGGGGCTTTTCACCTGGCCAGGTATTGCTGCAGGCTACTTGGACTTTTCCCCTCTCAGTCAGCCTGTATGTAGATAATGGGGCAACTGCTATGCTAATGTTCTGAGCCACTTGCTCTTTCTCTTGATTAAATCAACATTTATGACTCTGACAGGTTTCACATTTGCTAAAGCATTTCCCTCAGAGACATATTAAAGCTTGACATATTAGCTTTGTCTATGATATATAATAATCAAAGACTAGTATCCCCAACTAACTCAACTGTCAACAACTGTCTTGAGAATCTTCTTAGGGTATACACATGGGAAAATCCAAAACAAGTTAGACTTAATGCTTACCTTCAAGGAATTTTAATATGAATCTCAATAGTTTCCAAATATGTCTTAAGCTACAAAATAAATTCTGTAAAACTGTAGAGCACAGTGGCTCTAAAGTCAAACTGTACTACTATTTCATAGCTCTGTGAACTTAGCGGGGTGACAATCTCTTAGGGCTCATGCTCTTGTCCATAAAATTAAGTGAGGTCCCTACTTCATAGGATTGTGGTGAGGAGTAAATGAGTCAATGCACATCAAACTCTAAAAGAAGGATCTGTAATATAGAAAACATTCAGTAAATATCAGTAGTAATTATTATCCAAACTATCAACAAATATTACCTCCCTGCATGGGTCAAATCAGCTACTTTTCATGAGCTTAGCTCAGGAAGTCCTCCTCTGTTGGTTACTTCAGGAGTTGGAGTACATGGTTACACACAAACATTGTCATAAATGACACTTAGCTCCCAGTCACTGAACAAAAGTCTCTCTCAATCCCATTATCACTGAGACTTGCATGCTTGCAGTTTTCAAAAACAAATTTGAGACCATTCTATTGTAAGAACAGAAAAATAATGTAACAATGATTTTTAAAAGTATATAACCAGTAGCTTCTTATTTATCGTGAAAGTTGGCACTTGAAGAAAAAAACAGGATGCATTTTAAATGGATGAAGAAGGATGTGAAAATATGAGAAGATGAAAAGAAACATCTAGGTCCTCGAAAGCTTTTGGAGGTTGATAATCTAGTTCTTTTTGAAAATCTTCTTTCATTCAGGGACTTCTATCACCCTTTCAGTCATTATTAGAAGTGATCTTGCATTTGTACATGAAATTAAAAGACAGACAAAAGAGGACAAAAGGAAGATAGAGAGATATATAGAATAGGATATATATGTGTGTGTGTGTGTGTGTGTGTGTGTATCAGACATTGAGGCACAAACCTGTGATCTCAGAAACTTGAGAGGTAAAGGCAGGAGAATTGCAAGTTCAAAACCAGTCTCAGCAATTTAGCAAGACCTTGTCTCAAAATAAAACATAATAATTTTTTAAAAGTCGAGGGATGTAGCTCAGTGGTAGAGCACTCCTGGTTTCAATCCCCAGTTTTAAAAAATATATACTTATATATTATACCATATAATATATATTACATATCTTACATCTAATATTAAATAATACATGTTATATATATTTATATCTGTCTGGAATGGCATTAACTTTAAGATATAGGGTCTAGAGACTTAGGAGTGCAGCTCAGTGGTAGAGCACATGCCCAGCGTGAATGACACCCTAGGTTCCATACTCAGCACCCCCCAAAAAATGGGGAGCTGGGGCAGAATATGGAGTCTTCAAAAGGAAATATGAAATATTCCAACCATTCCTGGACTTTCAAACTTCCAGTCATTACACCTTTCAAACCTACACATGATAAGCATTGGTACTCAGCAAATGGAGAAGTTGAATTCTTGTTCCTGCCAGTCAACCATACAGAATGCTATCTTTGTTTGACACTGTTTGTGAATTAACACTTTATTTTTATTTTCATTTATTTTAATTAAAAAGTGAAATCGGCTGGAGTTGTGGCTTAGTGGTAAAGGACTTGTCTATCATGTTTCAGGCCCTGGGATCAATCCCCAGCTCTGCAAATTAAACTATTTAAATAAAAGAAAACATTGTAAAATAAAGATAATATGTAGACCACATAAAAGAACACAATTAGGGGGCTGGGGATGTGGCTCAAGCGGTAGCGCGCTCACCTGGCATGCGTGCGGCCCAGGTTCGATCCTCAGCACCACATACAAACAAAGATGTTGTGTCCACCGAGAACTGAAAAATATACATTAAAAAATTCTCTCTCTCTCCCTCTCTCTCCCAAAAAAAAAAAAAAAAAGAATTGAAACTCTCATAAAATATTAATTGCATGTAGTATATGAACTCAAATTTTCACTTTTGGTTTTCAGAAATGCTGTACATATGTACAAGAATAAAGAGATGTCTCTTAAAAAGCAAGGAAGCAACCTGGGCCCGGCGACTTCCCTGATGTCCACAAGGGGGCACCGTCTGCCCATAACCAGTTGGCTATGGACCTGTGAATGGAGGACAATTTCAGTTGGAAAAACAACCTGCTATTTAATGTGTTCATTCAGCT